GAACAAATCCCGATCTGAACCTGTGTCATTGACCACAGTAAAAAGACGATTGAGAGATGCTAAGTTATTTGGTCGCGTCGCCGTTCGAATAGCTAATAAGGCCACAAAACAAAAGGAAACGGATGCAGTGGGCTCCCCACAGTGGGAACCATCGAGACTGGACCGAAGAAAACTTTAAAAAAGTTCTTTGGACAGATAAATCCAAATTTGAAATATTTGGATCAAAACGACGAATTTTTCTTCGACGTAGCGCTGAGGAAAAGATGATGCCAGACTGTGTGGTGCCAACAGTCAAGCATGGTGGTGGTTCCATTATGGTCTGGGGATGCTTCTCGAGGCATGGAACCGGAGATTTGTTACCAGTTGAAGGAATCATGAAAAAGGAGCAGTATAAATGAATACTACAGCAAAATGCCGTTCCATCTGGTTTAAGATTAATTGGAAATGGATTTTATTTTGAACAAGATAATGACCCAAAACATAGTTCAAAATTATGCAGGGGTTATTTAGAACATAAAGAAACGGAAGGGGTGTTAAAAAATATGGTGTGGCCCCCTCAGAGCCCGGATCTTAACCCAATTGATCTTTTGTGGGAAGAGCTTGATGGAAATGTGCGCGGTTGTTGTCCTTCCTCGCAAGAAGACATGTGGAAGGCTTTACAAGAAAGCTGTAACAATATTTCACAAGAAACAATCGACAAATTGATTGCTCGTATGCCGAGACTAGTGAAAAATGTAATTAAATGCAAGGGACGGTTTTTTGACGAAAAATCTGTTTAAAATATGAACGGCATTTTTAACGTAAATGGTTGATATTTCTTGATTTGTTTTGTTTTCTTCTTCATGTATGTGCATTAGTAGATAAGTATTTTAATTAATAATTAAACCTCTTGCTTTATACTTTGAGTTTTATTTCATTTTCCTTCTTTGATGTCATTTTCCTTCTTTGATGTAGGTGGTCTCAAATTTTTGGCCAGCAGTGTGTGTCTCTATTTTAGAACATAGATGTTTTTACAAACATTCCTTTACAATGCAATAAATTACAATTCCTATAGTTGTTTGAGTGGTCCACTTCCATACAGCGCTTTGTGACATTTTTAATGATTTTTAGTTAATGGCGTGAAATGAATCAGTATTCTAAATAATTTTAAATACTTCAACAATAGAGTGCCAAAACTTGATATATTCTAAACAAATCAGTGTCAAATGCTGACTGGTCTTGCAAAAGTAGCTATCTTTCTTAGTTTCACACTTTCAAAAGTTGCCATAAAAGAAGAAGAGCATAAACTCGTGCAAAATCCACCATTTTCTTTTGTATTTATTATTTTGTCATCCGAAACACCACTTGTGTTCATTTATTAAAACTTGCTAGTCAAACATTTCGGAGAAGATTGACAAATGACAGTAAATGAAGATACATTTACGGTTGATGACGTGGATATAATGTTAAAATTAGAATTAGATTCAAGTTGTATTTTTGGCTATTATTATAACAAAACTAGCCATTTTATCATTGTGTTGTTGCAAAACTAGCTACGGTAATTCTGAACAATTACAAAACCAGTTGTTTTAAGCTAACTGTTGTAAAACTCTATGTTCAATTTTGAAATGGAAATAAAGTAAAAAGTTTGATACTGTGATTTTGTTTCTTCATATTGTTTATCTCTTTTTATCACAATTTTCAGATAATTAAAAAGTAGCATTTAAAAATCTGTTTTCGGAACAATAATTGTTATTTTTAGTTTAAAGCTTTTTTATCCACACGCATAACGCAGTTTGCTAGTGGGCTACTCATTTATTGGTGGACTTTAAATACTTACTTAAGGGCCTCATTCTCTTTAAAACACTCTGTTGTTAAAATTACTACATGGCACTTGAAATTCTTTACCTGAGACCTACAAATATAATAATTATAAAGCTGGAGACAACAACACTAATTGCCTGATCTGAAACTAGATAATTAGGTGTACAATGAGTACCAATTGCACATAGTTAAACAAAAAGAATCCAATCCAGTCACTTTCGAGATATGGCAGTTCGAAGCATAGAAGTGTTTCTCACCCTTGTTTTATTTTCATAACTTATAATGTCATGTAACTCCAGAGATATTTATTTATGTTTATATGTTGGATTTTTTTGCTGATCTAAGAGGTTGGACTTTAGGAACCGTTTGGTACATATAACTAATCTTCGATAATTTTGTGGATTGGATCCTATTTGCTTAACTATGTCCGATTTAGAAAAGTTCACATCAAAATTGGTCCTAACGGGAATTGAACACCGGACCTCAATATCCAAGCACCCATAGTGCAAGACATTGGAGACCATTGGACCACTGACCTGGAACATTATTCAAAGTATGTTGTTCAGTTAAAACTTGGATAATCCAAAATTTTTGTTAATTTGCATCTTTTGTTTTTCGACAATTCACGCTCTTTTCCAATCAGGTTAGGCAGAGACTACCGCCTTCCATTTCCAGTAGGAAATGGAAGGCGGTAGTCGGATAGTAATCCTGTCATATATCTTTCATCTTTCGCTCTTTAACGGTACTCCTGTCCTGTCTTTTCTTCAGGTTGTCCTCAATTCAGTCCTGGCAAATTCCTACCACATCATCGTCGTAATTTTGGTATATTATAATGGTACAATGACCTTAACATAGAAACTACTAAACTTAAATGCCATGACTAAAGTGTGAAAGTTCTTAAAGAAAAGCAAGTGTTACAGAAAATCGGTTTCACAGATATTTCTTGTCAGAGAAACGTAAATGAGCCAAAAATACGAACACGAAATAAAAAATTAGGATCCTCAAAACATTATTTAATTCGGTTACATTTAAAATTTTTTCAAACCTAAACACAATCTATCTTAACAAATTAAGAAGTCCCATTCCTTAACGACTTACACTCAAATCTCAGTACATTCCAATTTGGAGTCATTAAATCAGTTCGGAAACCAATTTTGAACAATGATAATCCTACAATATTAAAAATCCGCTATTCAGTATTACAACTTGTGTTTATTGAAGTCTCTCGCAGTCAGCAGGTTCACATAAGTTAATATATAATGCTACTGAATTTCGAATGCTGTTAAATTGAACGGTACGAAAAAGTAAATGTAGGTAATTTAATTTGGTAGTATTGCAAAGTCGCGCCCGGCGGGATGATGTCATCATATAAATTCAGCAAGATAACACATAATTGACTGGAGTCACGCCCAAAAAAATACTAAAATTACGTACAATTATTCTAAAACTGTATAAAAGTAGTCTTATGAGTGATAAAGTTGATTTCATGGTAGGAATTTAGTTTTTTTTTATGAAAGGATTGTGAATGGAATTCAATGGTATTTGCAAATAACATTGGTAAAAGAAATGCAGAAATATTGATGTTAAAAATGCTGGGCGTGAGAAGCATGTCGCTGGAAGAGTAACGCGGTGGAGCTATAAAAAAACGACACCGTTCTTACATTCATTACTAGACACACCCTAAATCGAGAACGCCGAGTAATACACATTTTCACACCAAAATAACTATTTTTCAATTAAAATTCTTGTGCAGACACGTGTTTAGAGGTGTATTGTAATACATACCGGCAGTTGTATCCAAAAAGCGGTTTCCAACAGCTTCTCTCGAGTCACTTCACAAAATCACTCCTTACTATAAAGAGTAGCAAGTAACTTACACTAAGCACATAAACGACGAAACATTATAATGAAATAACACGCACAGATTGTTCTCCGGTAGATTTTAACGCACTAGCACCACCGACATTACGCGAAATCGCGTTAATTTCTTTATTTCGTTCGTAAAAAATCGTCTGCACGCTACCGCGGAAGATCGATGTCGCGCGAAGTACTTGTTTTCGCCGGTGGCGGGGCTGCAGTCGCTGTCTTGCGCGTCGTTCTGTTTTGCGCATACGAGAAACTAGATGGCACTAGAAGCATAATTGGTGTTGCTGCTTAATTATATAATTTCATACCAAATTTTGAAAAATTATAAACAAACGATTTACAATAATTTATAATTACTTGTACAGTCAGATACAGGGTACCTACCTTATTTTCATGACGAAACTATTTAAGTAATGATTACGAAAAGACAAAAGCCTTTGGCTAGTAAGTTTTGCCATTGACGACTTACAGCACTGAAATTTATCAAAAAATTGTCATCCATGGGGATATTCTCGGAGTTTCTCTGTAACATCAGAAATGAGGATATCCACACAAGTCCTAAAGTTAGTATAGAGCACAAATAATTACGACATTAATATAACATAAAAATTAAAATTAAAAAGCTGGCAATTGTTGGGCAACAGGACCCAATCCTTATGACATACTTGCGAGAAAACTTAAGACCATTAAGGCATCAAGGTGCTTTCGCCACGCTAGAAACAAATAATGGTCACGGTTGACTGTGGGACCTGTACAGGGCCTGCAACGTCGGTTTGTTTGAAAAAACAAATATACGCGATTTAAATCCGGAAAAATAGTTTCATTTCCTAACATTATTTGTTTCTAGCGTGGCCAAAGCACGTTGATGCGGACTGGTTGTCACTCTGTATAAGCTGTTTTTTGTCTATGTACTGCTTAAACTATTATGAGATTCGTTTTAGTAAACGGAAATAAGAGTTGGGATTTGTTTCACTTACGTTAAACTACTAAGCAATTAAGTCAACTTTGTTGGTAGGTCAATAAAGTCAAATATAATTTCTACTACCGGAGTTGGAATATTTAAAAGTAGCATCACATTTACTTGTCATTGCGTTTTGTTTTCATTAATTACATTTCACGTTCTGAAAAGAATATTTTGATAAAATTATATTTCTACGGTTTATTTTTATTTTTTAAAGAATGGCTAAAAATGTCATTTGTTGTGATGACTTATTTTGTTTCGCAACCGCATTCTAGGTAAATTTCGTAAAACAAGAATTGCGTAAACGAAACGTAAAATGAAACAAAACGTTTTTCCGTTAATCGAAAAAAAAAAACATTTCCAAAATGGCGGTCGTTTAGGTTGTATTCTTGTTGTAATTTTTATTTTATTTCTCAAAAATTTTAAAACTGGTGACTGAAATCTAAGGTAAAGATACTTCCTAATCCATATTTACCCTTCAGGTTAATGTTTTTTTAAATTATTATTTTGTATTTTACAGAAAAAATGGGTCGGTCGCCAAGTCCGCGGCGGCGTGAGGACAGAGATCGTCACAGGGAAAGAAGAGATCGGGACAGAGACCGTGACCGTAGAAGACGTACTAGGTCAAGATCACGCTCTTTAGACCGCAGAAGACGGTCTCCAGACCGCCGTAGATCCCCCTCACCACGCCGCCGCCGGTCCAGATCAGCATCACCAACCTCAAGTTCATTCGTTCCAAAACCAAAGAAAACATTCGAGAGACCTATCATAACTCCTGCAGACCTCGAAGGAAAGTCTCCTGAAGAGCAGGAGATGCTAAAAGTCATGGGTTTCTGCGGATTCGATACAACAAAAGGTAAGAAAGTTGAGGGCAATGTTGAAGGCGAAGTCCATGTTGTTTTAAAACGAAAATATAGGCAGTACATGAATAGAAAAGGTGGTTTCAACAGGCCATTGGACTTTGTGGCGTAGACGACCTATTTTTTTGAGTTTTAAAATGTTTTATGGACTGCAACAGTCTAGAATCTAGGAAAGTGATATTCGCTATTGTGTGATATATGTTTTTTCTTACTTAATTTTGGTGAAGGCATTGACTTTGGCTCTTTGCAGCCTAGATACATGTGTACAGCAGATGCTACTTGAACCATCATGCTATTTATTTATCCCATTATTTTCTTTAGCTGTTGCTGTGGTCTTCAAAATAATGGAATAAAAATTACAATTTCATTGCGAACTAAAAATGTAAAAAATTTTCTCCATACATATTTTTTAAACTACGATTTATGTTCAGTAATTATAGTAACTAAAGCTAAAGTATTTATGTCAATACATTCACTAAAATTATATGCAACAATATATTTTTCAAATAGTTGTTAAGTGTTAATCTTTATCTTTATATACAAAGTTGTAACTAAGACATATGTAAACATATACACATATATTAATAAAAACACACAACGTTAAAATGCACACTAGGTGAAAACATGCTCAGTAAATATAAAAATAAAGTAAATCTACATTTCTTTTATAATCTTTGTAACCTGACAAAAATCTTACATTTCAAAATGTACCTTCACCATTTATATATGTCCTAGTTACAGCTTTTAGCCACAAGACATTTGACTAAAGATGGAACTGGACAGTTTCACATGAGATTCTTGGACATGCTGTGCTAATATTGCAACGCAGCTGTAGCAGTAACAAAAACCATTTTATTGTGTCTGCCCATAGTACGTGCAAGTATTGCATTCTGCCTTAAGGCAATAATCACTTCTAGATCTAAAACTTAAATTCTTTTTAACAGTGATACACTGCTTACTCATGAAACCTGAGTCAATTAGCTTTGTGCTTCACATTATGGTTGTCAGCACTGTTCAACGTTCATAAGTGAACTGCCGCTTAAAAACAACAAGAAACTCATTTTTTGTCTTTATCACACAACTGACATTTGTTACCGATCATTAAATTAGTCTTGTGGCTGTTAGAGTAAGGTATTAGCAGGGCTATACGCATTGCGACTATTGCATGGTTGACTTCAGAACTATTCAACCCATCAAAAATATCTTTATTGTCATGTAAACAAGTTACAATTGACATAGTTATGTTGATAGAAGATGCATTTCTGTCCTGTCTATAATTTCTTATATCTGTCTAGGCAACAGGTTATTTGTCTTCGCAGCGTAGCTATTCTACATTCACAAGTTGAAATCAATACTGTCATTAAATGAAAAAGTAAATTATTTGAGAAATGATCATTGAAGCTTCTGTTTTTGTTTAGTGACGGTATTGGTTTTGGTGTACGATAGTTTGAATAAACTGAAGGATCCTTATATAATAGTCGTGAAGTGTAAAGCCCACTTTAGTTTTAAGGCCGTTATACAGTGGCCGCGCGCAGCGTTCGCCCGCGCGGTCCCCGGTTTAAGCGCACTGCGCACCAAGAAGACGTGATAGAGTCTGTGATTGGTTGAAAAACTTGAGGTGGAACTTTGGAATGGTTACATCACAGCTGTTGTCAGAAAACTTTTCACTGGAAACAAATTGTGGTTCCCACACACTATGCCGCCAGTAACCAGCCACAGCAATATATATAAAAAAACTAACCATTTATCCAAGGCACACCGTTTATAAGACTGAAGCCCAACCCCGCGTAGTGCTCACACACACCCCCCTAGCAATAGAACGAGATATATTTACTGTATACACAATACGTACAACTGTATGTAGATTGTAATCAACTTTATTGGTTAACTGTTTGTGATTGTAATTATGGATAACAAAAATTAAATATTATATTTTGACAATTTGAGAAGATGCCAAAAAACTACACAAAATTTCAAATATATTCCATATCCCAGTCAGCACAATTTCTATAATTACAATCGCAAACTATGATGTTGTTTACTAATAAAGTACAACGCTATATACATCATTATATACCATATACAACACTCCCCCTTCCTCCACAACGTACAATAGTTAAAGGATATTCTGCCAGAGTGATGTGTTTTTGAGAATTTTTTCATGTTTACATAACGTCATTAATTTCCACTGCACTGCTTCTATAAGCGTGTAATTTGAAGGCACCCTTATATCACGGTTCAGTATCAAAGTTGCAGCATTATAACAGTGCGATGTAATGCGTTTTGACCTTTAGGGTTTGATCACACTGATCAACAGCACTTTTGGTATTGCTCTCTGTAAAATGTGTCTGCGAATGGAATCTTGCAGTTACTATGCTGTACACCTATCATCAGACCCTTAGTTCACCGTGTAAACGATAAATTTTGAACAACACAGTACTCTGTCATTCTATCTTCCGTTTTTATATACACTGGTTGAATGTTTTTTATACTTTTTTTACAAACGCCTTACGTGGGTTTACGGGCATTATTATTTTCTGCCCATCACGGACTTGTCACGTTTTGTCACTACATCTGCACTATTTTGAATGAATCATAATGTTATTTTTTATGGAAATTTGTATTCCTTTTCGAACAAATTAATTCCAAAAACAAATGTTGTGAAATCTGACGAAAACTTCCAGGGTTATTTTTAAAGTACGATATAAACAACGTTTGTTCCATTAATTTTAATAATTCATCCGATTTTACTTTCACACAACATACAACCATTTTATAAATAACTCTGTATTTTTTGTCATCATAAACGGTCAGAATAGGGTGTTACAAATCAGTAGATAAATGTATTGGTTAAAACAAGCTATTGCTTGCAGCTTATTAAAATGTTTACTTTAATGAACGGTTAGTTATCTACTGGGTTTTTTGTTACACGGCGCCATTAGAATTACTTTAAAATCCAACTTCGACTTCCTAGGTCAGTTACGATCCGGTTAAATTATTTCCGGAAATCTGGAATTCGAAAACGTAAGAAATGAATATTTTGTGATCTTTAGATAGATAGATTAAAACTTTATTCACTTCCCTGACAACTTATTTACTAAGATCAACTAAAACTGACCCTATAATGACTATAGTCTGTTCTAATCCATTTTAAATGAAATGTAAACAAAACGGTGTGGTTGAATTTTTAAAGCAGTCATTAAATAAATCTAATAAGTAACGCTTTCACGTATATTTCGAAGATTTTGACTTGATATCTCATTATTTTCCAACAATACTCATTTAAATGACATCGTAAAATCGTATTTGAAAAATTTTGGCAAGAAAAGTGAGATTATTTTTTTTAATTAAAGATTTGGTTGCATAGTGCTGTACAGAAAAAACATTCAGTTCTTTCAAGTTTTTGTAATCGATTAGTAAATCGAAAATTTCAATCGCAATCGAATGAGTATCTAAATGTAAGATTTGAAGGAGGATTTAAACTAAAATTTCGAAATTTTTAAATATGCTTTTATAGATTACGTAATGAAAACCGCTAGTATGACTCAATTAAACAAATCGCTTCATTCAATTAATTTATTGATTTGTAGTTCGCATTACAATTTGACATCACTAAACATTCTATGGTCGGGTCAGTGCCTTGTTTGTTAACTTTTGTTTAAAATTGATTGAAACGAAGTAATTGAATCACTTAAAAATACCAAAAGGGACTTACAACTTTATATATAACTAATTAAACTAAGTAGTTTAGGAAATCATGGCAGTGAAAAAGTACTTGCTCAGCATAAATGCCACAATTTCCCACGACGCTAACATTCTGCCTGAACTCTGTTAATAAAGACGCCACTCATCTCAGACAGTCCTCTGTCGTATTACCATTTAATGTAATAAAGATTATATTTATGTTTTCAAACCACTCTATGGGTCGTATTCCAGAACTCTACTCAATGCTCAAGTCAGCATTTGAGCAGGCTTGAGTATTATTTCAAACACTGGAAATACGACCCTAATGGCAAGGACTTGAGTATGATTTTCAGTGCTCACTGCAATACTCAAGTCCTGACTTGAGTATTGAGTAGAGTTCTAGAATACGACCCGTAGGATCTTAGAACTCACCGAAAATCATACTCAAGTCCTTGCCATTAGGGTCGTATTTCCAGTGCTTGAAATCATACTTAGGTCTGCCCAAATCCTGACTTGAGCATTGAGTAGAGTTCTGGAATACGACCCTAAGTCACTCCTTGTTATAAATTTATCTACTGATTTGGAACAACCTATTCCAACCATTGGTCATCATCAAAGTTAAATTATTGGCTATGAAGTACACGCCATTATAGAAGTAAAATGTATAATTTTCTCAAGATAATAAATTAAATAAACTTAATATCAATCACAGGTTATATAAACATGTTGAAAACCTGAGAAACTTTCCAAAATTAACAACATATCAAGTTAATAGCACAAAAATTCATGCACACTTTGATATGTTAAGATGTAATCACACAAGCTGCATTACGACTAGTGTAGTGATGCAGTCATTTGAATTCTAATTACAATTGAAATGCAGTCGGTATGTAGCTCGTATGACTACCTACTCATACTTCACGTATGGTACTTATTTTCTGTAATGTGACATCATGTCGTCCTGCTCTTCACTAATTGTCATTTATCTAAAGTTTGTTCGTAACTAAGTAAGACGTCCGTCTTTCAAAAGTGAACAAATCCCCGCTAAGGCTCAATTTATATTGGATTTACATTGTAAAATGAACCCCATGTCAACTTTGTAGCGTTCTCTGGAATACCCGTAGCTACCGTATCGTATCTAGTTTGTGCATACCATTTTAGTTTTAAAAATTCGCTTCAAATTGGGCCTTAGTGTCTATTGTGTCTTAGTGTGCATAGGCACACGGCGTATTTTATACGGACCGACGATGCTCAGATGACGCGCGTAAACGAGATTCAAACGCGATGCTGTCGCAGCGAGTAAGTCTTTGCA